GTCTAGATTAAGTTTTTTCCGTAAGTACTGTTTTTTTGTTACAAACTTAAATGTTAACATGTAGCTACATAAATCCTCACAAATTTGCATCTTTATTATGATAGATACATAAATTATCCTTGTCATCCTCGCACAAAGTGCAGAAGGCTTCAATACTTGATGTCAAAGAAAAACTGTACATTTGACAGGTTCATTTTGGAATTCCAGGTCTCTGTGTTCTTCATAAACAAACAGCTTTCATTACTTGTCAACTGTTTTAAGAACAGGTAACATTAAATAAATTGTACTTTGAATGTTTTTCTGTTGCACTTGCTGGTCCTTGAATAGTCTTAATAGGTTTTTACTTTGTTAATAGTTATATATGCAGTTGTGTACCCATTGGATTGCTCCTGCTCCAAAACTGCTTATATTTGTACCTGGACATTCACTGGAATCTCAGCTTAACTGTGCTTATGGCTAATTGACTCCTAGCTGTGCATGTCTGTTAAATATGTAAATATAATGTGTGACGCATGGTGCATGCTGGGTTCCATCTGAACTCGCAACTTGGAAATCCCGAGTTCCTAGTCGGAAATTTCAAATAGAATGCCCCCCTGAAGTCAGAATTCTGACTCGTATTTGATGAATATACTGTATCAGATACTAGATTGTAACAAAATACTTTTTTTCTTAATGGGAACTTCAGTCAGTCATTACAAAGCAGCCTTCCTGCCTAATTAGTTTGATTATTTTTATTTGACAGCACAAACATATTTCAGGCTTGCCTGTATCATAAATTTCTGTCTGCAGCCTTTGGAGAGGGAAGAATATTTACTCGTCCTTCTGCTTTTCAATCAGACTCTCCATCTAATAACAGATACATGGATGCTGGGGTTAGTCTGGGCTGTAATTCACCCCTCTGCACCTTTCACGGTGTGTTGACCACATGCAAATATGAAGACTTTTCAACATTCACCCTAATGACCCACTAAGACCATTGGACAGCCACCATCAAACACAGCAATCTGATTGGAGGTTTCCACCTCTTCTGATTTGTCCATAAGTTACATCTAATTATATGTCAAACACAATCTCACAGTACAGCACTGCGTGGATCAGATAAAGGCCATAACCTACCTACAGCACATATAAAGTATCTAAGGTTAAAGCTGCAGACTCAGTGTGGATCTAAGCACATCTGTGACACGCCTACCTGTACCAACTCTAATTAGATGCACTACATCCACTAGCCATGTATGTTTCTATACATTTACAAATGATGATGTATGCAGCAGAACAGGGATGTAAGGTACAACACATCACACACGGCACACACACTACGGGGATTTGCTCTGTCTGTTTTGGTTGCTGATTCTGAGCCTCAGGGCCACTGATATTCTCTTCGTTTAGAGCAAACGCCTCGTCGCCCATGTGGATTCTCATATGCTTTTTCAGGATGGAGCGAGATACAGGCAGGAGAAATAGATGGTTTGTGCTTTAGAAAATCATGCAAATCATAAACATGTAGCAAAGCTGGGAACAATATTCTAGTGGATGAAACAAACATAAATATTGTGGCCCCGGTACATGGCTTTCATACGCCAGTAGGGGCAAACTTTGCCAGGACTGTGGAGTTATGCAAATATAGTATGTACATTTGCATTGCCCATATCCTTCATGCTGGTTGTGTATTTGTTTAATATTGTTAGTTCTGTCCTTTAAAGTAGTGATTATATTGAACCCTGTTTCCTCCGTTGTACCTGTGTAACGTGTTACCTGCTCCTCATGTCTCTCGCTACCCAAATATTTGTTCACCGTATGTTGCTATGCCAGTAAAATTGTAACCTCTGTCATATTTCATATGTTATATGTAGTAGTGTTAACAGAGATAAGTGCTTCAGCTATGTGTTGTGTCCTTTTCAAGACAGCTAATAAAGAACAACTAATAAAGCATTCCCTGCGTCCTGCCTGCAACTCGGAAATGGCACATTTATTTGGAAATACTATGCATAAACAAATTCATATTCAAAGTAAGTATGTTGGTAGTTTATATAGCACCTTACAAGATCAAATGTCACAAAGTGATTCACAGAAAATAAAACAAAGATATTCAAGCGTATATAAAATATGAAGCCCTTAAGAGGACATGGGAGGAGAAAAAAGTAATGGAAGAAGGGTTCTGTATGTGATAAAAGGCCTATCAGTAAAAAAACAAGTTTTCAGACTCTGTTTAAGAGTCCACACCGGACCTGGAACCTGTGGATGTAATTTAACTGCTAAACTGTCATGAAGTTTAGGGTTACATGGATGATGATTTTATAAATGACGCTCACAGGTAAATGCATCTACATTTTTATATGCTTGCACATGGATAGGACACTCAGTTACTGTAGCCTTATGAATGAAGAGGTTAGCAATAACATTTAACAGAAATGTGCCTGTTAAGTTAGTTTCAAAACAGACCTAAATGTAGCTCAGCTGGGCACTAAATGTGAGTTTGTATATGTCACCAGGTAAGACCTGACCTAAAGTTTACTGCAATGAATTCTCATTAGATAAGACACTTATGAAAGGGGTATGACAAAAATACGACTCTTCTTATAAAGGATTATAAAAACGATAGAAGAAAACCAGAAAAAGTGAACGTTGACAGCTTTTACTGTATGCATGGTTATGGAGGAGGGATGGAGAGAAACCTAAAAGATTTATGCTTAGGCTACTTATAACGACAGTCGTGATATTCGTGTTAATTTGCAGTCAGCAGTTGGCATTTGTGTCCATGCTGTTATCCTGAAGGATGCACTTCAAAACCTTTTTCAAAGTCTTCCAAGTCGATTAGTCTAGATGGACAGCCTTGTCCATCTCTAAGCATATGATGATGTTTTAATAAATAGTGCTATTTAATTTGAAAAGGCAGTGATTTGTAAATTTACTTTGTCTTGTATTTCATTGCAGACAGTATGAACACAAGATTTCATGTGTTTTCTGGTCAACTCTGTTTGTAAATATTAGTGCTGGGCAACGATTAAAATCTTTAATCGTGATTAATCGCATGATTTGTCTGATTAATCGTGATTAATCGCAATGTTATGCGCAAAATTTAATAATTAATTCAAAAGTAGTGTTTTGTGCACTTTATTTTAACCCTCTGGGGTCGGCGCTCCCACCTGACAGAAATTTCACCAAATCATTTAA